GAGTGCACGCGCCCTGTAGCAAAAACCTCTCAAAAAAAAAAAAAAATAGAGAGGTGCCCTTCCTCTGCACCCAAAGAGACACAAACCCTCTCCTAGGCCATACCCTGACCAGAATCATTCTCCTTCTGTTATAAAAGAAAGTGATGGGATAATTGGCCAAATTTAGCATGGTGTGTGCATGAAAGAACAGGATTACACTCTTGTTAATTTACTAACATTGCTCACTATGCTATTCAAAAGAGCGTCTTTTTATTAAGGAAATGCACTCTGAAGTATTCAAGAGTGAAGAGACCGCATGCTCGTAATTTTCTCTGAAGGCTTAGAACATTATAATATGCAAATACGGGGAGAGAAAAGATGGCGCAAGTGTCGCGATATGATATCATCTGGGGGATCTGGAAGGGGATATAGGAGAATTTCTCATACTATTCTTGTAACCTTTCTGAAATCTGAAGTTATTTCATATATATATATTCATATATATATCCATATATATATATCCATATATATATTCACATATATATCCATATATATATTCATATATATATTCATATATATCCATATATATTCATATATATCCATATATATTCATATATATCCATATATATTCATATATATATCCATATATATTCATATATATCCATATATATTCATATACACACACACACACACACACACACACACACACATATATATATATACACACACACATACACTCTTGTCATGCGAATATTACTTATTCAACCACTCTGAACTTCAGTGTTTCATCCAAAAGGTGGGCATGACAATATGTGCTTTGTACAGAGCTCAGAGAATGTAGCCAAGGCTGAGTTCTGGCAGAACCAGAACTAGTGGACAGGGTGGGCATGACGGACAGAAACCCAAATTCCTTACACTCGGCCTACTTCAAAAAAAAAAAGCAGCTGTTCCTTTTCATCTTCAGGGAAAGGGAGGACAAAGGGCACCTGAGGCAAGCATGGAATCTGAACACTATCACTTAGAACTTTTTTTTTTGAGAGGTTTTCGCTATAGGGCGCATGCGCTCGCCAGGCAGACAGAGAGAGACATAGAGACAGAAAGCGAGAAATCACCCCCCAGGGGGGATGGCCACACCGCAATCCCTTCTCCTCCATTCTCCTCTCGGGATCTTGGGCACGCATGCACACGCGCCCGGCGTGAGTTCTAAGCCACTGGGTCCGGGACGCGAACCACGGTCAACTACGTGGGAATCCAGCGACATAGCCATTACGCTAACTGCTGGTTCCCACTTAGAACTTTTCATCATCGCCTCATTAATTACGTGACCCTTGGGCAACCACGCTCGGTAAGGCCTGTTAATTCTGGTAATTCTAATGCTTTATAATGATATGACCAATCTCAAGCGGTTTTCCCTTTTATCACTGAATTTAATCTTCACTAATATCTTAACATCGGGCTATTGATTAAAGCTTCCTCCACATAATCAAGGCATCTTCAGGGAGAGTATTATAATCTGTTTCCTGATAAAGAACTAAAAACGCTCCCAGTATGTACCCAAGAGAAATCCTCACCAGGGTCCACGAGGGGACACGCATGGGGATGGTTCCACCGCAAGGGCGTGGGCAGGGGCTGGTGCCCAGGTGTGTGCGCACCGTCAGAGAGGAGCTGGGCAAGCTGTGGTGGACGCACACCATGGGAGCAGCAGGCCAGATACTACACGACAGTGGGTCTTACAAACAGAACGCTGAGCGCCAAAGTCACAAACGCAATGAGATACGTGACGTGGCGCCAACAAGCCCGCAAGTTCCATGGCATTCGTGTGAGTGCGTGAAATTCTTCATAGGCTGTTGCATTGCTAATTTGTAAAAGAAGAATTTCTCCCATTCTGCAGAGGAAGGAAGGGAAGGAAGAACAGAGGCAGAGACACTTGGGGAAAAGGACAGAGGGGTGGACAGCAGAGAAACGATGGGTTTGGAGGAGGGCAATGCGTGCAGGTAGGCACAGACCTGGCAGTGCCCGTCCCACACACAGGTCCCAGACTCTTACCTGAGGTGCCTGCCTTGTGGCTGGGCTGGCCCGTCTGGTGCACGCTCTGCTGCAGCAGGCTGAGGCACTCCCCGAGGCAGCTGAGGGTGGCGGCAGAGGTAGCTTTCAAGAGCAGCAGATCCTGGTCCAGGGCGGTGAGGGGGCCGGAACCTGGCAGGGACTCGATGGCATGCACGAGGTTCTTCTGCTGCCCTTCCACCTGGTTCATCATCTACAAAGTGGGGGAGATGGCAAGGGGGTGAGGGTCAGAAGTCCTCCATCCGGCAGGCAGAGGAGTCAGCACTTAGGCCACGGGCGAGGTAAAATCGGGGCAGCGTCAGCTCACAGAGCTCAGGGCTCATTGCTCCTGTGACCAGATCCAGTCCTGGTCTAGGGAAATCCGAGACCAGTCTAGATCGACCTGTCCAAAAGCACTCCGTCCAAAGACTTCTAGAACTCGGTGCTGAAAAGGACCATGAGGGCTGGGTAGGTGTACCATTGTATAGCTCTCCTGAAGGTGAGCAGATAGTAAACACCGCAGGGACCAGTCGATGCCATGGTAGCGAAACACAGTACTCTGTAAGGCTGGCCCACAGGGGTGGTTCCCAGTCCGTGTCAGGACACCTCCCTGGGCACACAGTCATGTACATGCCCACGAATCAGGGCTGGCTGAGGCTGGCTCCAGATCATGGTGTCAGGCCCCTGTTGGGGATGTTGTTTCTCTCTTGCTTGCCGACTCAAGGAAGAAATAAATCAACTTTTTTTATATAGAGAGATTTTTACTATAGGGCACATGCACTTGCCAGAGAGACAGAGAGCCAGAAAGTGAGAAATCACCCCCCAGAGGGGATGGTTACAGCGCAATCCCTTCTCCTCTCGGTATCTTGGGAGCACATGTACAAACACCCAGCGTGAATTTTAAGCCCCCAGGTCTGGGACTCATACCACAGTCAGCCACGTGGGAGTCCAGCGACATAACCATTATGCCATCTGCTGGTCACCAGAAATAAATAAACTTTAAAAATAATAACAAGGGGACCAGCAGGTGGCATGGTGGTTAAGGTGCTGGACACGCCCACGTGGCCAACCACAGTTTAAGTCCCGGACCTGGAGGCTTGCTTTCTCACTTTCCCTCTCCGCCTCTCTCTTGTCTTTCTCTGTCTGTCTCTGGTCAAATGAAAATAAATGAATGAATAAATTTAAAAATATAACAACAATAAATACATTAAAGGCAGCAGTCTCCGTGATCATCTTTAAAGTTCTTTTGCTGCAGAGGATTATCTGAGACAGTGGATGCACTGTGGTTTTTCCAGCACAACAAGACTAATTTCTTGCTTTCCCTTGACCTTCAAACCTTCACTCTCTGGCAAATCCTATTCAAAGTTTAAGGAAAGGAAGCAAACCCGGGGGCTGATATTCTTCATGTGAGTGAGATTACAGTGAAGCCAGTGTCAGGCACCCCCACGCTCCCCCAGAGAAATGCTAAACAGGATGTAGACCCAACACCACCGAAGATGTCAAGAAGAGAAAACACAGAAACTCCATACCCAGTCCTACGCCGTGGCTTAAGCTACAACAAACTAAGATAATCATATCTTGTGGGCCAGATTCTATTTTGAAGCTTATCGTAAGACAAACAGTAGTTTAATTATGTCTTCGAATGACAAATCAGGAAGACAAGGCCTCAAGAGCTAGCAAAGGACTTCAACAGTTATCTCGTGAAGTTCGTCGCCCTCATGTTTGACGACTTCTCTCATTAAACAAGATGACGGCGCAGTGCTGAGCACCATGTCGAGCAAATAATGAGTCGTTCTCGGCCGTGGAGGAGCTCGAGCAAACAGCCAGGTCACCGAACTGGTGGCCCTCAGAGGCGGGAAGTAACTCCAGTTCTCCAGACTCTGACCCATCGCTCTTTGTACTTCCCAACAAAGCTGTCCACGTGTGAAGTGACAGCTCCAGTTTTGTCACTGTCACTTCCAGAGGATCCTTGTGACTATCACAGTGTCCTCAGACAGAAGCAGCTGGAAGAAGCAATCATTCTGTAAGAACCACAGACTTGGCAGACTTGGACAAAATCTTCATTGCACACTCTCAGCCTTTTCTTTCTGTTGAAAGTAGGATCCGCTATTTTGTATCATTTGACTCAAAAAAAAAAGAAAAAAATAGTTCACTCTTTGCAATCCTACTTTCCAAAACATGTACTATTACTTTAAAGTGATTTTTTTTTTTAAAAAAAAAGAGAGATTTTTGATATAGGATGTATGCGCTTACTAGAGAGACAGAAAGGCAGAAAGACAGAAAGCAAGAAATCAGCCCCCAGGCGGGGATGGCAGGCTGCAATTCCTTCTCCTTCATTCTCCTCTTGGGATCTTGGGCATGCACGCATGCAAGCCGCATGTGGGTCTGGGACTTGAAATGCAGTCGACTACATGGGATTCCAGTGACATAACTATTAGGTCTTCTGCTGGTCCTGAAAGTAAGGCCTTTTAAGTAAAGAACTGAAGGAATGGAAACTACATGCAAGAAGGACATCTGAGGAAAAGCAGTCCAAATAGAGTAAACTACCAAGAATAGAATGGCCACACTGCAATCCCTTCTTCATTCTCCTCATGGGAGTTTGGGCACACACACACACACACACACACACACACACACACACGCCCAGCATGAGTTTAAGTCACCAGATCCAGGACTTGAACCATAGTCTATGTGATAGTCCAGTGATGTAACCATTGGTGCCATTTGCTGGTCCCACTTTAAAATGATTTTTAAAAATCCATGTTAATAAACATGTCACACAGACATGGTTTGGAATATTCTCAACTCTCCATACACACCTATAATTTGACTATGCAAATTGCTTTTTTCAGATTATACAGGTTAGACCTCGTCATTTTGGCTCCTAAAACAACACATGGAATATAACAAGGGAGCAATCGGGGGACCAGCAGTTAGCATAATGGCTATGTCGCTGGACTCCCATGTAGCCAACCACGGTTTGGGTCCCGGACCCGGTGGCTTAACACTCATGCCAGGTGCATGTGCATCCTCACCCAGGATCCTGAGAAGAAAACGAAGGAGAAGGGATTGCAGCATGGCCGTCCCCCCGGGGGGTGATTTCTCACTTTCTGTCTCTCTGTCTCTCTCTGTCTGTCTGGTGAGTGCACGTGCCCCATAGCAAAAACAAAAAAAAAAAAAAAAAAAAAAAAAAAAACAAGGGAACATTCGGGGATTAATAAGTATTCATTTATCCTTTAGGTCTTTTTTTCTCAATGCAAGAGAGAGGGGAGGGGGGAAAGAAGGAGGAGAAGCAGAAAGCGATACTTTGACAGGGTCTTACTGTTGTGACCCTCTGCTTTGGCCTCACAGTCAGCTAGGATTACAGGTACGTGTTACCACGCCTGACCTATTCAGGCTGGTCCAGGAACCGAACCCTAGCTTCCCATGTGGCCCCAGCCTTGCGTAGTGATACCCTAGAGCTTGTGCCACCACGTCCGAGTCTCTCATTCTGGTTTTTGCTTAAGAATCTCTTTCTCAAGAAACTTTCCTGAACCACCTAATTGAAACTGTATCTCCAGCCCAGCCCCTGGCACGCCTATCGACCTTACTAACTCTTTCTCCATAGTACTCGACACCTTTTGACCTAACTTGTAATTCACTTATTTATTATGCTCATTTATTCCGGGATATGACCAGGAATCATTCTCTGATAGATCCCAGTGAATAGCTATTGAATGAATGAATGAATGAATCCAAATGTCACTATTCTTTCATTAAAGTGCAAGAGAATCCACTTAGAAGACACGAAATCTACAGAAATCACTCTATCTAATGACCATAAGATGGCTGAACATTTAGTAAAAATAATGCCTCCTTTACCAGTTTAGCCAAAGAAATAACAGCTGGTTAAGTTTAATTTCAAAGAAGATAAAATGTCAGGGCCAGCAGGGGACACAGTGCTTACGCCTGCGGGATTCCCTCATAGCTGACTGCAGTGAGTCCCAGATCCAGCAGCTTGAAATTCACACCAGGCACCCATGTGTGCGTGGCCAAAATCCCAGAAGGAGAATGGTGGAGACGGAATTGTGGAGTAGCCATCCCCCGTGGAGGGTGATTTCTCACTTTCCTTCTCACTGTCTCTTTCTGTCTCTATAGCGAGTACAAGTACCCTATGGCACAAACATTAAAAAAAAAAATTTTTAAGTAAAATGTCTATGTATTTATTAACATTCAACTAGACATCTGTAACGGCCAGCAGTTAGTGAGAAGTGGATTTTGAGTTATTTATAGTAATTGGCATTTCTGTAAATTCATACTACAAAACAGTCTTAGAAAAACGATGCATGGAGAAGGAACTGCATGATGACCAAACAGCATATATTACATGGGGTCATCGGAAGACCATGACGTTCTTTTCTATGTTTTTCTGTGCAAAAGTGCATCATGACTTTTCCAATGACCCGATATATCTTTTACTATTATAAGTGATGCCATTATGCTTCAGAGAAAAGGTGAGTAAAATCAAGCCATTAACCATATGGAATAAACTTGTTTTGAATCAACAAATAGAATTAATTGCCTTCTAACTACATAGTATAGGATAAACATTGGTTCTTTCACAAGCATAAGGTATTCCATGATCTCAGGTAATGAAAACACACAATTAGCTCACAGAAGTGTTCATTTACAGCCTATGGCCCATGCCCAAGACGCGGCAGCCCTTTGCAAGGGGCGTGTGGAAGCAGCAGTGACGTGGGTTTGGTGGTTACCATCACTTGGGAAGAACTCATGGCACTGAGTGGGTAGGGGTCGCAATTCAGGGCTTGGCCACGTCCAATTAAGAACCTTGCTGCTTCAAATGCCAATCACGCCTCCTTGAGTAACCCTTGGCTAGATTGTCAGGCTCCTTGTAGCTTTCAACACCTTTCTCGGTAAACTGAACACTAAAAATAAAATGAGCCCGTCATGGTGACTGGCACCTAGCAGACACCTCCTAAAGATTCATTTTCTCCGTGAGATGTGAACCAGAAATCCAGTGTTCAATGACATGATGGATGCTAATCTTCATTTTTTATCAGCTTCATCAGACTTCAACAGAAACTGAGTAAACCCTGAGAGACATGCAGAAGTCCTCACCTGAGAACTGAATACCACAGTTATTACTGCTCCGACGTTTGCTAAGACTGGGAGGCACTGACTGAGTCTCCATTAGACTTTGGATGACCATATCCA